AGCTGGCAAAATCCAGAACCACAGTAGTTCAGGCAAATACAAATGAAAATGAGTACTATATTAGAAGTATAATTTTGCATATGTCACATTAAAAATACACAAAACCAAAACATAGCGCTCCCCCCTACAAAGCAAACCGTGCGGCCCGAACCTTGGTTCTGGATTTGTTCCAATAAAATCTAGTCACACTTCTCTTTGATCTTACTTCAGTCTCTCATTTCAGTGAGTTGTTTTAGTGGTGTGATCCAAAACTGTTCAAAATGATAGGAACCCAGTACACTCAAGCATAATTAATATTAAAGAAATGTGCATTATATATATCTGAAGTATTAGGATTGATCTGCATAAATGGAAGAATCAGTATCCACGCTAGGAATCTTTTTTTTTATTAGAACTCATTTATTTTCTATTTTAATGCTTTAGGGTTTAAAAAATAAGTAAATAGAACAACCTTACTGGGCCCTGGATATTCAGCACACTTCCAGGATATATTAGCAATTGGGCATTTTACAGCAGGAGTGACTTGTGTGCAGCAGCAATTTTTTTTGGACTGTAACAGGCTGCCATGGGTAAGAAGTATGGGTTTGTTTCTAACAAAACTGCCAAAAGTGATATAGAATACACTTCTAGAAGGTTTGTAGCAAATCTGTGTAGCTGCTTAATGATGTTAAATTCTACAGAAGATTGCTTTGCAGAGGATGCCACAGATCCAGAAAAACTTTTAAAGATATGGAGCAGGCTATTGTGATAGCCCCAGCTCTGCAGCTCCTGCTCCTGTGCTGCAGCCTCAACTGGCGTTGATAACGTTCCCTGGCTTCTGCAGCTTCAATCTTCTCTCTTCTGGGCTTTTGGGGTATTGCAAGCCTAACTTTACAAGGAGGAAAAATAGCTTTATTAATATACTGTGTCCCACAGTGTGAAATGTTCTCCCATAAGCTCTACTAGTGGTCTTCTAAAAGCTCCTGTTCTCAAGCTGGCCTGTAGTGCCTCTTCCCTGTGTATCAGATTTCACCGCAGTGCTTGTGCATCCTGGCTGCAGAGGTGTGTTGGGCACTTCTGCCGGGCTCTCTGTAAGGTTATTGCAGCCTCTCAGCTGAAAAGGTCCACAGGCATTTCAGGCAGTTTGCTGGTTTCTAGCAATAACTTTCCCCAGTGCTTGGCTGAAAAGAGGCTGCTGCCTGTAGTTTCTCCCAAGCAAGGGGAGCCTCACATCATCTTGCTATTTCAGGCCTCTTCTTAAGCCAGACTTAAAGCTGCTTGGGTGAGAAAGGCACAGAAGGCCTTGCAAGGTGCATATAAGCTTGAACTAGTAATAATATCTTGCCCCAAGCGATTACATTGGCTTTCAGTCCTAGGGGTAGAAAATCAGACATCAGAGTATCTTGGTCATTGCATCTCCAACAGTACTTAGAAGTGACATGTAACAAATATTATCGGCTTTTCCAGTTGAATTGTGAATTAGAATTTTCTTCCTGCTTGGGGTGTTTACTGAACAGGAATAAGTTGTATGCATTGTTTTGGTGAAGAATGCAGAATGTGTTGTCATTTGACCTGAGAAATTTGAATGCTCTTTTCTGCAGATGAAATGTTAGCCCGTTACAGTGTTGCTGTGCTACGTGGCAGATGCACTGATAAACGTCGAGTGAGAGACTTTTGTTTTGGGTTCTGGACAAACACGCCAAGGAGGCAGAATTTGCCTTTGTGAGTTACTGCAATGAAGTAGAAATTTGAAGGAAGGGGTCTTATCAAGAGTCTCTAGTTAGCAAAACTTGAGAGAGCAGATCTTGCCCAAGCTTGCATAATGACACAATGACAAAGCCAATAAAGAAATCAGATCTCCTGACCGCATTCTGTGCATTCATCATGAGGACATTCTTCTGGGGTTTTGTTTTTTTTCCTTAAACAGGGAAAATGAAGGATCTCTTTAGTCCCTGGGGTGCCATGGTGTGGTCTCCTACTACTCTTGGGCGTTCTGCTTTCAGCACTGGAATGTTTCTGTATTTGTTGCTTGCTCAAGGATTTAAGCCATTTATTTTGTTTGTTTATAATAGAGTTCTGGTGGGAAGGCAGATGTTATGTGGGAAAGCTATTTTCTGGACCTGTTTATCCCCGTTATGCAGAATCTCACAGACCACCAGTAGCAAGTAGCTATTAGGCATCAGCTTTGGGATATTGGCATATTTAGAAGAGGAGATGTATTAGTTCTTGTAAGTGGCTTTGCAGCAAACCCAAAGATTTCTTGGCATGCTTTGGCTTGTTTAAAATGGACATGGGTGTGTCTTTGTTTCTATATAGTCAGTTGACCTTTTGAAATATTGGTATTTTAGGAAATGGTCTGTATTTGTTCATGTCGGACAATAAACAGCTGACTTGAATTCCCAAAATACACCATCTAAGCAATACTTAGCTGTGGTCTTCTTTAGAAGAGATGGTTCTAAATAAATCTCATTTGAATGCCTGTGATCAAAATTAAAAATCAAGGTTTTCACTTCCACTCATCTTTCTTTACCTTGGCATCTGGGGTACTTCAAGGAACTTACCAATTAAATTGTATGCTATTGTGGTAGCAGAATAGCTGAAAAGGGCAAGTCTTTGAGTTCCAAAGAATTCTTGTTTCAAAACATAATCTTTAAGAATCTGGCCTTCATCTCTCTTCTGCTGATACTTTCCAGTACTGATTTCACAACAGGCTGAATTCACAAATTCTTAAGATGCAGGAGGAAACAAGTTAATATATTGATGTTTTATCAGGAAAGAGTCCTAACTGGAGTATCCACGCACTTGAAGACTAGAAGGCTTCTTACTTTTGGTTATCTGTTATTCTCGCCAAGGATCTGTAGGCTTGCAAATTGCCAAAGTCACATGTGTTGAGAGAGCAAAGTAAACACTGTAGAAAGGCAATTTTTGCATTTTCTTCTTGTTCAGCCGAAGAGATTAGACATAGATGGAGAACACTTTCCTCCTTAGGGGGCAGGATGACCACAAAGCTAGAGTAATTTTTTTATTATTATTTGAAGAAAATACATATGAACACACACTGCAGCATGTGTTTGAAAGAAGCAAAAATCTTAATTATTTTGAGATTTTTTCAACAGTCTGTATCTGAATGCCTTTCAGGGGGGCCGTTGCCTCCCAGGTTGCAATGTGAGGAAGATTGGAGTTGTCCCTCTTTTGAGTTGCAACCTGTCTGCCAAGATGTGAGGCACCTTCAAGCTTGTTCCCCCTCGCAACATGCTGCGTGGGCTCTTGGTGTGAAACTAGCTTGTTTCTAGGGTATTTGGTCTGCTCTGGGCTTGGATGCATGGGAGGAAGTGTTTTGCAGAAGGTTTCTGGCCAGTTCCAAAGGAGAGGAGAAAGTATGCGTTGTTTAGAACTGTTAAGCCCAATTAGTGAAATATTGTGTTTCATTGTAGCGGCAGTTGTGTGAGGAATTGTCAGCAGTGGCTTCTTCTGTTTCATTTTGTGGGTAGTAAACGCTACAAGGATGAGCTACAAGAGTCTCCGAAAGCCTCATGCTACTTGTTTTATTACTGCAGTCTAGATTGTTGATCTGTGTTGAACAGAACGGAAAATGCCATGTTAGTTCACAGCTTGCCTGTGCATATGTGTGCTATGGAAAAAGTGAAATCTTGCTCTCCTAGCTTTCTGCTTAGGACCAAATTTGGTTAGCAGTTAGCAGAAGATTGCTTGAAAGTTAGATCGGCAAGGATTGCAGCAATTAGTATTTTTAATTTGTGACTGCAGCTCTGGAGGGAGTTCAGAAAAATGAACCTGTTGGTGGGTAACTCGGGCTCCTTGTGCCTCTGTTCCCATTCAAAAATGCATATTACAGCAGTTCCCTGTAAGAAAAATTGTGGGGAGAAATCTGAATGATGATTGCGAGGTGCTAAGGTATCCCTGCAAAGAGGCCATTTAAAATCATAGATCTATGTGAAAACCATTGTACTGATAGTTACTAGCAAATGTAATCCAAATAATGGGAACCTGTGGCTTTTGTGTACAGCCTTTACACCTCCCAGGGAGTCCCTGGTTATTAGAAAGTTGTGTTTCATCAGGTGTTATTTATTTATTTCATGGCTGTGGAAAGAGATACCGAACACTTGGGGTTTAATTAATCTTTGATCAGTATCTGCAGGCGGGGTGGAATGGGGTTTTGGCATTTTTTGCCACTCAGGTATATTTGAATGCAGCCCCTTGCAGCTGGAGTGAGGTGTAGAGAGCTGTGGGGCATGCCGCCGTAGGCAGGTTAGTTGTGTCGCGTGCCAACATCGTCATCATGGTGTACAGTATTAGTCTTCATTCAGCTTGGTAGTGAATGGGACCTAACAGAGTAAAACAATGCATTACTCCGTCTGCTTTCCAGGAGTAATGGCAAGTATGTTTAGAATCTGGAAAGAAAAATTAGACTTCATGTCTGCTGAGGAACCACAGCAGGGCTTCCACTGACTTGAATCCTGACAGTAAACCTCCACTTTGACAGAAACCTGTCAGAGGCTATTACCCTTCAGGTTTCTTTTCTATGAAGCTCTTCTGTACTGAAGGCTTTAAAGAGGTGGCATGAGGCTCCTCCTCGGGCGAGGGAGCACAGTCAAACTCCAACTGTTCCTTTACATGGTTTTGTATGAGTGCCCAAGGTCTGCAGCAAAGCTTGTGTGACATTTGCCATGCACATGGAGTCAGTTCTTTGTGAACATCTGTGTCCTTTTTCCTTTCCCTCCCCCACCTGAATTAGTTACAGAAATTTGTATGATTGGCCTTTCTTTTAAAAAATGTTTGTAAGAGACTTTGTTAGGCGTAAATAGCTACTTGGTACCTAACAGTGATTGTTGAGAGAGATCTAAAAGGTGTTTCAGAGTGTATGTGTATATTTATTCATTGCTACAATTAGGCTTTTTGTTTGTTTGTTTTTGCATAAGTATTAAATGGCAGAATAATATGTAAGCAGCAAAAGTATGTTAAAAATAAAAATCCGTGATAACTTTTTTGTTTTCCTTCAACAGACATACATTGGCAGCGTGGTGATATCAATAAACCCCTACAGATCTCTACCCATTTATACTCCAGAGAAAGTGGAAGAATACAGAAACCGAAACTTTTATGAACTCAGTCCTCACATGTAAGTGAAGAAGTTTTAGTTTTCATTCTGTCCTGAAACAGATGGTACCAGCTGTCTTCTTCCTCAAAAGGTCTGTGCTGATTAAGGCAAACAAACAAACAAAAAAATCACAACACCACTCCCCTGAAATGACTTTTTATTAGTTCATCCTTATTTTAAAGAGAAGTCAAGATGAGTTACTCTTTCTGTTTCATGTATTTAGATCCCGGTATGTGCATTTCGGAACGTTTTCCTGTAATTGTTAGCAGTAGCCTTTATTACTGCATTGTAAAGCAGTCTGTTTTCAAGGAAATCTGTTCTTTCAAAGTCCAGATTGCCTTGTGAAAGCCTCTAGGTGTTAAATATGTTTGAGTCATATAGTGTTACTTTTGATATCTGAAACTTTTAATTTCTTTTTGCACAATGCAAAAAATGAAAAAAAACCCTCATGATGAATGCAGAAACGTATTGGATATGTCTGAATGGTAACTGTAGGAAAATAAAAGCTTGATCTCCTCTGTGCTGGCAGCCAGAGTGCCATAAATATATAATATGAATTTTAAGGCTAAAATATATAGCATATATACAAACATAAAATATTGTAAAATATGATTTGTATATGACATAAATTCCAAGTCTACATATAGGAATAGAAGGCTGGGTAGTAGGTATAATCTCTTATTCTGACTTTCATTTGCCTTCTGTAATTCCTGTACGGGGGTGCATATTGCAAAGAAGTCAGGGGCCTTGCCTTGTGGTTATAGAGAACGACATGACCAGTATGATTTGGGCCTGGTCAGAATTATTGAGAATAATGGAACATGGTTAAGCCCTGTCCGTAATAGGACAAGACTTTGATCACAGTTGTGGGTGGTATGGCTGAAAATGAGGGACCTGGTCTTCAAGGTCTGTATGTTGCAGTAATTGTTTTATCTTGTTAGACATTGTAGTGGTGAGATTAAAGCCAGCTGTTCCTCTCCTTGGCATGATGCTGGGATAGAGGAGTGTTTCCAGTGTGAGGTTGCCACCTGACTTTGCAGTCACATATTCAGGAGACTGACTTGAGTGATCAGCAGTCAGATAAGTGTCTAAACATGGCCATAAATTTATGCATCTTCCTTCAGTGTTAGCTTTTAGGTTAAAAGGAAATTATCTGTGAGAAGAGTTCTGGAAGTTATTTTGTCTGATTAGATTTTTGCCTTCACACTTCATCTGTAACTTTTCTAGTAACATTGGCTGAAATGCAAACAGCCACTTAATCAGATTGAATAAGGTTCTGGTCATTCTTGGCCCTCTTGGATCTGAAGTCTGGCTATGTTCAGGTTTTCTTTCTTCACAGTTTTGTTTAGCAAGCACAATTGCTTGTTAAATTAGCGCAGTTGCTTGCTAAAAGAACTTTTTGCTCTGCTAACTTTGTTCATCTCCATAAAATTTGCTGTCATATGATGGAGGATTTTTAAAAAATCTAGGAGTTAAAGCTTGTCTGACATTCTGAAAGTCAGTACTATGTACTTGGTTAAATGTTGAATCAAGTACATGGTAATATATTGATCTTCACATTTTTCCATCTCTTTTGAGAGATGTTTTTCCAGAATAGAAATAGTCAACATTCATTGTTGTATGTATTATGAGAGTCTTGGTAGAAAAATGTTTCATAAACATAATTGTATGGTCAGGCTGTCATCTCAGAGCAAGAACTTCTGGAGTCCAAACACTAGAAATTCACTTTAAGAGTAGTAGATTGAAGTGTGAAAATGTTGAATTTTAACTTATGTCAGAAAATCTCAACTGCATCATAGTAATAGATTTTCCTTGCAAGTTTGGGTAGAGTGCCAAGTCATGAAAAGTGTAAGACTAATTTGTCTTAGATATGATCTCTCCACAAATTTTCTTTATTTGGTATTGTTTCTGTATGAAAATTTTGTCTTCTCACACCTCCTAAGTAGACAAAAAAACCTTTAAAAATACAGGATTAGGAAATAATCTTTGATACGGTTACTTTTACAGATACAGTGTTTTCTTTATAAACTGTAGAAATATAAAATGATTTTACTTTATGGTGACCTTGCTTCCCTTCCTACCTGTCTGTAGATGCTTATGAGAACCTCAGAATCAAGACAGTCACTTTTGTCTCTGCTTAAATTAACTTCTCACCATCTTTAAAAGATACTTTTCAGATATTGTACATTTATAACACAAGTGCTACGTAGACTGCCTTACACCACCTCTGACAAACCTAAACAACTTTTCGTCATCTTTAGTGTATAGTGCCTTGTGCTGTAGCCTGAGCATTCATGCCAGTCCAGTTGTTCATTTTGTGAACATGGAGGTGGTACTTGAATGCTGGTTAATAGACCATGAGGTGAGCTTACAGGGTGGCTGTATAGTCCTGCTGCAGCCAAGCCTAGGCTGTTCACCAATGGGGCACCTGCCTACCATGCTGGTCAGTATGGGCCAAGAACTGGGTTTGAGTCAGAGCTGGCATCATCCCAGCCTTGGAGCTTGCAGCTGTTTCTAGGGTTGACTGATCTGGGAGTAGCAGGCCAGTGTTAAAAGCAGGGTTCAGGTATATCTGGGGAGGTTGCTACACTTCCACAGTGAGCTTGTAATCTTCAAGGTGTTACTGTTTAGCTGCTCAGGAGCTTTAATGAAGAGATGGTGTGAGACAAATTGCAATTTCTGATGTTTCTTCTGACGTGGCGGTAAAAAACCCTACATTGATTTGTAGAGATATACATACTTAATTTTCTTTGATGTGTAAATCTGTGCTGAGCCATGGTCTCTTCAGAACTGATTGTGGGTAAGCCCGCTGTACCATTTAAGTGTGCTTTGGTAGAAGACAGTTGGTTCTGTTGTGTAATCCTGAGCAAAGCAAAACTCTTGACCATTTATAAGGAAACTAATTCATGTCACCTAGAAAGTGTGTCTAGAAATAAAATGATACGTAGTGTGTTTCTTATTTCAGCATCTCATTTGTAAAAATAATCAATCTAATTTTGTTAATAATGCTAGCTAGAAAAATGCAAACAATTTATTGCAAAAAAATTTCTGGCAGTGGTTTGGTTTGAGATTCCTATAGAAACCAGGTCTGTATGGCACCCAGATTCTTCTGTCAGAAATAAACATGCTGTCACTGCTGGCATGATAGCTCATATTCTTCAAGGTCTGTTGTTTTGGAGAGAACCTCCAGGTTTGGGAATCCCAGGTTTTAAGTGTCAGCGTCTCTGGAGCAGACTGCCGTGAGATGTTCCCAGAGCTCTGGCTCTGTGTGGGAGCTCCTGGGAAATGAGGAATCTAAATCCTGTTTTGGTTATTTTCCAGTAGTTTCATATAACCTTCTGTCTATGCTCGAGGTACGTGCAAGTGTTTCAGTGTGATGGATTGGTAGAAAGGAGGATGTGCTTGAGCATGCCAGCTATCCCAATAAAATAGCAGGCTTGGTGAGCAAATGAAAACAAAAGGAAAAAGAGAGAGAAGTATATAATGACGTGGAAGAAATCCATACCTAGAGAGGATTTTTTCCATTTGTGGTTTTGAAGGAAACATATACTTAAGGGAGTGAAAAATCTGTTCACATATTTTCTTAGCCCTAACCTGAAAGAGGAGGGGAGTGAACATCTAGTCTTCCACTCTATATTTCCTCAAGAACATCTGTGAGAGTGACTGACTCTTTCAATGATGCTAGTTAATACTTAATTGCAGGGTTTGGATGGGGTTCTTGGTTGTGTTGTTTTGTTTCGTTTCGCTTTTTAAAGATCTGTGGAAATTAGAGTAAGGCCAAGGACACAATTTGAATAGGCAGCTAAACTAAATTTCTGCGAGAAAGTTTGTGGTCGGGTGGTTTTAGATAGTGTTATACCTGATAAAATGTGATCAAAGAGATTTTACTTTAATAGTTCATTCCTCTCTAAATACACCACTGTTGTTGTGGCACCATGTAATAAAGTGTTACTTTTCTAGGTCTCCTGGAATGCTTGTTCTCATAGTCTGTGGCTATTTGCGTAGCTGTAATAGGAAGTTTACCAAGCTTTTTAATTGGTTTTTTCCTAATGTTTTCTTAATCTTGCTGGTTTTGTCTTTATCTGCAAGGCAGGATCAGACTTGTCTCTGACTTGACAGGGCAGAGTATGACATTTCGGTGTTCAGTTGGCTGCTTGATTTCTGCAGTCCTTACCCTTCTGTTCTGCTCTTTCAGTTGATGTAATTACTTTTTCAGTTGATGTAATTGCTGTTTTGCTTACCTTGTGGGTAATCCAGACGTGAGCTGTCTGTCTTGCTAACATACATTGACTTCCACCATTTCAAAGGCAGCTGCTGGCATCTTTGAAATGAAGGCAATAAGAAACAAATAGCTTATCGTACAGTTTATTTGTAACTGTGATGCTGTATCACTTTCCTACCAGTAACAGATTTGCTTTAAGGGATTGCGGAGTAGGTGCTTTATTGCATTTCCTATCTTAACATTGGCTCCTGGCTACTAGCGGCTCTCCAGCTCTGGGAGACTGGGTGGCATGTACCTTTTTGCTCCCCTTTATGTTCTGAAACACCTTACCTGCTCACTTTAGAAGAATCACAGATTATTTTAAGTTGAGGGACAAAATAGAAAGTGGCCACTGTGCTGCTAACAGTAAGCTACAAGCAAATAAGAGTTCAGAGTCAATGTCTGTTTCTTTTTTTTTTTAGCTGTGCACTGAAGTATTTATGGTGAATAACTGGGACAGCAGGAAAATATCTGGAGAAGGCTTGTACAAGACATCTATTGAATTGCACTTAGGCAATTTGGCTGTATATTTTATTGTTATTAGTTCTTTTAAGTCAAATATTTCTGAAGAGATGACAGTTTTGCATTAAAAGCTTTCAAATTTAGAGACTTAAATTTTTGCAGGCGACTCCTAAAAACCAGCTTGCCTTTATATAGGATACAAGCACAAAGATACCAACCTGATGCCTATTAAAATGCAAGAATGAGGAACTCATTAATGTTCCCCGTTTCAGTGATCATCATATTAATAATTATTGAG